ACAACTATATTAAAACCGATCATCGCTTGTTGTATTATTATATTAGAGTCGAGTTGCATAAACGTTTATTGAGGTTAGGCTGATGATACTTCGAACAACACTTACATTTATATTTTTAACATAATAGGTATAGTGAAAGAGTCAAAATGATATAAACTATTCTCTCAATCTGTCCTTAATCATTTGAAAGCATTCAAGAAATATTATCACTTGTGGGATAAAATTACCCATGACTTATAAAATGCAAAAATCCACTAGCTTCAATGCAGTTAATATATTATGCAGACCCCGGACACAATCAATAAATTCATTGATGCTTCGTTCTGAAACCACAATTTCTCATGAAGATTTTTTCCTACCTAGTGGTTACTCTGAGTTGAAGAAGGTTTTGGTTTGCATTTTACAATAATTGTTTACATTTTCAGCAACTACATTGTTTTAATAGGGACTGCACCATCTGGGTTAATGTACAAAAACCCATGTAATTCCTGAAAAATGTTTCTTCTGGTTGTTCTGTGGTATTTTAAATAATATATTATTATTTTCTGTGTGTATAGGTATAATTTATTGTGAATATAACAAACGATAAGATGGCCGCCATGTTTTTGTTTACATTGGAAGTGTCCTTTCTGACTAAATCTATTCTGTGGTGTATGGTCGATGACTCGTTGACATTATTATTGTAATACCGTCGTGGAACCGATGAAGACGACGATTAATACGTTATGACATAATGTAGTATATTTCATTTATCGGTCATCCGGCGCATTGCCTATGGTTAGCCTCGGTCTTGTCAAACTGGAAAAAAACAAAGCTAATGATAGGTACTTTTGGAAGCTCTCGGTTACGCGTTTTTTTTTGTAGTAATTAAACGGTTGCGGCACAGAGACCGCGATTGCCTTGGTGTTTATTAATAATTGTTACCTGAGCAATTAACAAATCGCAATTGCACTTGTGCTGAGAACCGAAATCGCCGTCTGTAAATAATTAGCGTTCGGTATTGTTTTCTATTATTATATTATTATTGTATCTGGTACACACACAACACTCATAATATGGGCGCACACGCGTATAGTGTACTGTATAATATTTATTATTGTCTTGTGTGTGTGAAGGTGTGTAACCAGCACACGTACCTATATATTGCCACAGCCGTAATGGATAATATACCACGTGGAATGTATATAGCAGTGTTATGTGTGTGTCTGTGTGTGTATTGATATACGGCCATTTGTTAGATAACGGCGCATTATTCGAATAAATGAAAACCATAATATTATGATGATGGGAAAACCCCGGGATCGATAACGTTACCGAAACTCAAGCGAGTTATTCGGTTTAGTGGGTGCAAAATTAAAATCGACTATTAATCGATGGCCCTAAAGATCTAAAAATATGTGTCAAGTGCTAAAAAAGGACTACGAGGACTCTCAACGAACGTCGCGCTGCGTTAAAGTCTCCGCGTTCGCCACCATCAATGACACCACTGTCGTCTTCAATCGTTGCAACGGCGAGTAAATTGTTATTTCACCTCAAGTCCTGGAACTTCTCTTGAAAAGGTGAAATAATGTAATGTGTCCACCCCTCCAGTTAGAAGAAAGGATTTATTATAGTTTTTTTGGATTGTCGACGTTTATCGATAGTACATTATCCAAATAATATTCCTTACAAATTTTGAGCCAATTGAATATTTTTAAAGAAGTATAGCGGTCCGTAATTTTGAACTGAAATATAATATGTACATTTTTCGAGTGTTTTTCTCGATTTTGAAGGGGAGGAGTGAACTTTTTAAATGTTTGTCCCGGATACAATTCTCTGTTCCATAGACTTGCTACACGAAGAGGTCGGTATGGAAGGCGTTGTGGGTAAAAGACACACAACAAAAAAACCAATACCTTCTCAGCTCCGTATCGAAGCTAAAATACTACTTGCCTGTGCAACCAAAATGCCTTTTCAGAAATCTCCGATCCTTCCCATCCGTGGTGTTCCCCTCCCAAGGCCCAAAAGTTAACAGGGATTATGGTACAGCTACCGCCGACCATTGATCAATGACGATGACCACAGATGATGTAAAAATACAAATGTTAAGACTTGTCGATTTATATTCAGCCTTCAGATCATTCCACATGCTAATACGCGCCAACGCAAAATGTATTCAAATGCATCTAAACAATATTATATAATCAATAGTGTTCATTATTCAGGGCGCTACCGAGTTCATAGAATCTTCTTAGCGTGATATAACCACAAAACTCGTGGTCCGAGGCATGTACGGGTCACTGCCGCCGCCGCCGCCGTCTGGTCATTCATAGATAAAGAAATAATTATTTTTATATCATCTTACGCTATGCCACACGACACTTAAAATGCAACGCCTTGGTCTTATTAGAATCACCATTCCCATGTAGAAGTGCAGTGAAGAATTTCAGAACTTTAACTGATATAGGTAGTTCATTCACTGCAGAGCTTTAGAGTTGTATAAATCATAAAAGCACATCCCCTCCCGCCAAATTCTCATACTTTTTGTATTAATTGCTCAATAATAAATAAAATATTTTAAATAATTCTACGAAAATTAAAAATCAACGAAGTCTACGCGCCTACACCGACTTGGCAAGTGTTTTAATGTCCAAAGACCTAATACATTGGCCTAATATAGGATAAAATACCTAAAAATAAAATAATAAAACTTAAATTAAAAAAAATAAGGAACTTCGTTCCAAAAAAGTTGATTTTAGATTTTACAGTTTTAACGTTGATTGCATCATTAATTATTAATACTGTTATTACCGGTTTTATTTTTAATATAATATTGTTATGATAGGAACAATGAAAATGGTTTTTAATTGCAATGCGAAAGTTCATCGCCGATTTAGATATTAATTATTTACTATCATAATAGAACACTATAATCTTATGTCCCGGGTTAAATAAAAAGTGTGGTGGGGGCAAAGTAAGGGCCAAAGCAATACACTGGAGTGAGGGAGATCACAGGTAATTATTATAAATGAAAGTAATAAAAATCAATTACAACGATTATGGCGTTGATCGCCCGTCTATGATATGCTCAACATGATCCGTCCCAACAGCTATGCCTCAACCCCACTGAAATGGGTTTGAGGGGGGGGGGTCCTTAATACTACCTAATAAAAAAGTCGTGTTACAGATAATAATTGAAACAATTCTATACGTTATAGACCAACCGTATCCATCTATTATTACTTATTTGGCTGTGTCATGTTTTATCGGTGTGTGTATAGTCAAAACGAGCAGCTGTCAATAGCATGGTACTCACCGTGTGTATAATGTGCTGTTTGTAGTGTGTCTTTAAATCATGTCGCACACCTATGGGCTACGACAACCTGTAGTGCACTTTGCACATAACACAGCATTATTATTAACAATATTATTATGCGTTCAACTGAAATACACAGCTTATGGACGACACCTGACCTTGCCCCCGACCCGGCACCTTAATAAATAAAGGTATATGGTACCTACATTAATAAATAGCGGTAGATATCGCTTTATTTCCACGAGAATTCATATTCTATTGTACTTACGCTGTATTGTTCGTTGTGCTATTTCTTTGCACGATTGAAAAATATATGCATAACGTATTATGTAAATCACACACACACATTGTAAAATTGCCCATCGTTGCATTTATTCACATTGAATGTTTACATAAGTGGTAAACGTTAAGAACAATTTTTTTCCAATAGAAACATGATTGGTTTTTTATCAAGTGTAATGAACTGTAGAGTTCAAAACAAGTACTATCTTTTACGGTGGTAAAAATGTAGTAATTTCACTAGAATAGACTTAGTAAAACACAAAACTAACAAGATAGGTTTGATTCGATGTAATTTAATTAAATAACGTTTTACACAAACAATAACTTGCTCTGGTTTACAAGATAAACAATTGAACATATTTTTCTGATTGTTCCTTTAGGGTTATATACTAAAAAGAGTACAAGCTAAGCATTTCTTAATACTTGCGGAAAACAAGTATTAACGTCATATAACCAGAATTGGTAAATGCTTAAATGCTAGATATGTATTATACATTAATTAAAAGATACCCAAAACAACAGTAAGCATAAATAATTGTACTCAACGTGCCATGGTCATTACAATATCTCAAAGAGACCTTACACAAGTACCTACATTTTTTGTAGACAGACTTATATTAATAATTAAAATTAATTGGAATAAAAACGTACTGAAACTTCAAAAAAGTGAAAACAATTTACATTGTATAAAAAGTATGCAAAAAATAAATGTGATTTGCTTACAATGATTTAACGAAAATAAATACACATTTATTCAATGAATAAATTAACCCGAAAATGGAATAACGCCAGGTTTGTCATAACAACGTTTTTATTCCATTAAATCAATAATAACTTTTGACTTCACCAAGTTCAAAGTCGGCTGAAAATTTCGTTAAACTTTAACCAAATTCAAAATTAACGCTACATATTTCTCATCATGTAAAAAAAAAACTAATAGACTCGACACAAATTTATTTTTTTTAAAAAAATAATTTTATTTTTTTTAAAAAAATAATTTTATTTTTCTTAAATGTGTGTGTATGTATCTACTTTGATATTGTATAAATAAAAAAATAAAAACAGAAATAGACTTCCGATTTCAAAAATATTCTCAAACAAAAAACATCTTTTAGCTTTTTAATTATTACCGCGTTATTCAATAAAAAGTGCCTCCCCCCTCCCAATACAAAATCAATTTTTAGTTGCATTTTAAAAAATAAAAATTTGAATATTTATATTTTGTAGGCTTGTCAATGTGATTAATTTTTGATTGAACAAAATACTATTTTTTTTTTTTAATGAAAAACATACCCTTTTATTATTATTGAATGGCGGTGTGGTTGCAATAATGCATCAAATGTAAGATAACGTGTCGTCGATTACTCTATTGTTTGCGTTATAAAATGTCGAGGGTTCAACTAAAACAAAAATACACAATACATCAGTTTAACAATAAAATCATATAATAAACAAGTACACAAATTATAGTAAATTGTAAATTAGTAAAATATAGTAACATTATTGTTTTTTGTAAACGATACAAGACTGTGGTTGTTCATCTAATTATTATACAATTTCAGGATTGCGGAGCGGTGTTACGCGGACTCCAATTCACTCTGGACGCACAACAAGCGGAAAAGTTAATGCAGAAGATCAAAGTGAGCAAAAAACAACGCTGCTGGTGTCGCGTGGTCACGGCGTGCTTGGGTCTGTTCATGTTCATTGTGTCCGTAGTCACTGTCAGCCTTGCGCTCACCAGAGGACAGAAAATGTTTGGCTCTCTCTGAACGGCCATGATCAAAAAAAAAAAAACCATCAAAACCTTAATAATACCAATAACGATACTATGTTTTAAAATTTAATATAATAATTATTATAATTAAATTATTTACAAAATCATTGCGTGTCATGTCTCGATTGTACGAAATTATGGTTTTTCGATTAAGAGATAATCTCATTTTTTTTTTTTTCATTTCATATTATTATTATTATTATTATTTTATTAAGAAAATCCCTATAGAAACTTTTCGATTTAAAAATCATCATTTTATTTCGTAGGTAATTTTTTTTTTACACAATATTATAGATGAAATGTTTTTAATTTTTCTTGTATTATATAATTATTTATAGCCATACCTGGATATTAGTGTACTTAGTTTATGCTCATTATACTCTATACTAAATATTACACATCAATTTTTTTTTTTTTTTTTAAACAAAATTGTTTTTCAAGTATATAAAATATATTAGCTGTTAAGTTGAACGTGTACTCTTGCGAACCGATTATTATATAGTGCATAAATAATAAGTGTATTTATTATATTTTATTATTACTGATAAGATTATGTATAATTCGGATTGTAAAAATAATTTTATAATATGAAATAAAATAAATGTAAATATCTATAAAACAAAAAAAGTTTTCGATAACAATAATAATAATAATAAAAAATATTATTTGGTTTGGTGTCCCAAAATTATCACAGGCTCCGTACGGTAAAAACAATATAAACATTTTGTCGGTCGTCAATCCGAGTCCGGACGAATGACTAAATCTAAAGTAATATCGTGTTCGGCCGTCGGAATGTCTTCGAGTATTTGTTGACTGAAGGCTAAACCGATCGTTTGCAGATTGTTTTTGGGATAAATTTCTTTATACGTCTGTATACACCGATCGTAATATCCTCTGCCGCGTCCCAGACGTTTGCCGCCAACGGTGAACCCCATACCGGGCATAATCATAAGATCCAAACCGCCTGTAAAAGGTGAATGAAAAATACCGATTAGTTTTTCAAGATAAACGTAATGACAACAATGTGGTCTTACCTGTGAGCATGGCATTTTCTCGAATGTCGATGTCGGCCGGTTGCGATATATTCCATTTGGTTTTCGGCAAACTCTTAACGTCGTCCAACGACTTCACCTTTACCATGGACATTTCACTTTGACCGAATCTGTATGGGAAAAATAACCAAAACAAATTCACTTACATTGGGCTTGGATTTGAACAAATATTTATGTACCCACTTTGGAATGAAACACAGTTTTCCCGAGTCGAACATATGTTTAACAATATCCGCCGTTTGCACTTCTGAATCCATACTTAAATATATCGATATTCTTTTACTGTTTTCGTACAGTGGGTTAGATATCAACTGGAAAATATAACATAATGGTAAAAATTAATTTCATTTCTAAGGGAAAACAAGACATGAAAAGCAAATACAATGATTTGATATCATCAGTGTTACTTGTTAAACGCTAAAAGACATACAGTTTTATTTTTTTTTAATTGAAAAATATTTTGTTAAATATTATGAAATAGTGACTTCACCTTATCGGTATTAAATTCTATTATACCCATTACAAACAAATTTTATTTATTTAAATTTGTAAGGCTCAGAAATTATGAATCAGAAAATAAATTCAAATATTTGGCTCGGTTCTTCAGTGTATGATTTTTAATACTAGTATTTATTTTATTTTAAGTCAGTATTTTATTAAAGTGTTTTTTTGGCTAAGCCATAAATTGTATAGGACAAACGTAACCCATTTGTTGTAATTATTATTATTTATTGTTTTCGACTGAATATTTGGTAAACCATAAAATAAATAGAGTTCCCCCACTTTTATCAAGTTATAATAAGTTGCGGTAATGTTTTCGAATTATAGTCAATAGTTGATTATTTAAATTATGTAAAATAATAATAATTAAATAAATGTCTCTATACTTATTTAGAATACTCCCAATGCATGAAAAAATGTATATTAATTTTTTTGATTAATATTATTATTATTTATCATAAATTATTAGATTCTATTTAATATATTAAAACGTTTTTTAGCTTTAATATGAGAGAGGGTATTGTTATTACAAAAATGTGTTTTAATTACTAATTTTCTATTTATGTGTCTGGACCCACAATATCTCTAAGAACTGCTTAACTGATTTCTTCATGTAGCAAGTCTATAATATTTCAATAATAGATAATAGATGAATAATATTTTATAGTGCCAAAGTTCTCCTCTTATCCTTCAAAATTGAAAAAAATGTATACATTTGTTCATTGACTGATTATGACGCGCTTTAACTTTTTTTTAAAAGTAGTTCAATCAGGTAAGTAGTTAAACATTTCTATCTTTTAACTTTTTGTTCATTTCACTTGTTCGAGCCTAGTTATGAAACTTAAGCTCCGAAAATTGACTGAAAGTAGATCTAAAGGTAGGCTTGGACATAATATACAACTTTCCCAAAACTCTGTATTTAAAATTGTATTTAATAAGGAAAAGACCAGCTAGGAAAAAAAAAGGGTAAAATGTCTAGGTTGCTTTGGTGTAAACCAAATCGACAGGCAACAGATATCGGAATAATATTTTCATTATATTATCGTTGATTACGTTGTACGGGTAACGACGGCAACGGCCGTTCGTAGACAGACGAACGTAAAATACGGTCCGTCCCCGCCTGTACTGGCTTTTATTATTATTATAAATTATAACAACATAGATAGTACTTGCTTTTTTCGTGATAATTTTCGATTGCTCGGCGATTTCCCTGGCAGACATTTCGGACAATTTCCACTTGATTTCCTTGCGCAAATTGCTTTTGGCGATTTTCAACAGTTCCATGCTGGTATGGCGTTTTACAACAACAGAAATAGGTAACAATAACTCATGCGCACACCATATTATTCAGTTCAACGTGCTCTAATCAATCACCGTGACACACTGAACACACACACACACAAACACAATAGAATAATATAAGACCTACATTTTCAACAATTAATGGATCCGGTTCGTGAGTCGTGACGGACATGAGGAGGATGTGTTGCCCGGCAGACCAGCTGCAGCTTGCAAGTTGCAATACCTTTCCCGGCCTTCGCTTCGCTGATAACACAACGGTTATCAGTGTTATCACTAAAAAGGGTCGTCGCTACTTTCACCGAAACGTCAAAATTTCCCCTCCACTCCGTGTTGGAACATATTGTACATGGCGAAAGTGTACCTACGTATACGCGCTTTTCAGATATCAGCGTACAATATAATGTTTTAATGGGATTGCATGCGGTCTTTTGACGTTTTAGACCAATAACCCAGACAAAATGTCCAATACTTAGGATAGTCCGATTTTAATTTTGTAAAGATATTTTATACGAGTTCTTTGACAACTTGGGCTAGGTTATGTAGGAAACGGATTATTGATTTTTTCTTATTTTATGTAAACAAATTGGGGTTTAATATTGAAAAAACTGTAAGTTTAATTTATTTATATAGAAGACACTGAAATGTTTAAATGAAAACCGGCTTCTTACATAACATAGTAAATTAGGTAGCCAAAGAACTCGAATCTCTTTACATAATTGAAATTGGACCATCCTATATACCTAGTCGACACCTAGTCTGGATTTTTGGTCTAAATAAACCAATTGCCGAATTTACTTTTACTCACAGAAAAAACTATATAAATTAAAAATAATCTGGCAACCAAAATCATCCCCCATCCAACAATCTCCGACCTACCGACTAATGACATCAAACATAAAATATACTCTAGATGGCAAAATTATTGGGATGCCTTTCCTCCAACCAATAAGCTTAAAACAATAAAGAAGGATACAAAGAAATGGATCCCACCTTACTACCTCAACAGACGACAGGAAGTTGTCATTACAAGATGCAAAATCGGTCACTCCTTCACAACTCACTCGTACCTCGTCAGCAAAAATCCTCCACCCACTTGTAAAAAATGTCACACTGACCTTTCAGTTCAACACATCATCCTAGATTGCACGAAGTACCGGGATATAAGAAACAACCGAGCAATACCACTGAATATGGAAGAAGCACTCAACGAAAACAATAGCACAAAAATCATTACATTCTTAACTAAAATTAATCTCATAAGCGAATTTTAACAATGTAAAAATCTTTTTCCGTAGTCAGTAAGTCACAATATAATTTGTATTTTTTTCTTTTTGTTATTTTACTCCTAATTTACACTAGGCTAATGACCTTTGATGTTGAAGCCTTATTTTCAAATAAAAAAAAATAATTAAAAATAATACCTAGTAGTTTATACAAATTAACCAGTTGTCGAACTTTAATAACACCTCTTTTTTTCTTAAATATTGCCTATACAAAACTCCTTAAAACAGAACGCATGCAATCCCCGTAAAGAATGAAAAAACATCTTAAGAGTTTAAAAATAAAATTAAAGTTTATCGTTAATCTCGACGACATCGTTGGGTGATGTTGTAAATCGGATCAAAGTTGGATTAGACACTATCTAATTTTATAATTAGTAATTATGCTGTAGAAAATTTACAAATTGACTTCACAAATATTTTTGGAGATTAGTCAAATTTCCTGAATCCTTATTCTTTATAATATCAAGTGATTTATTTTTATGTATCTGGAAATAACATGGGACACAGTGGTACAGTTAATTTTAAATGAGTAGTGTTAATCATTACCGCCAAATGTCAGTGTTTTCAATCTTTAAACTTTTGTAAGATATGTATAAAAAGTTAAATTTTATTTTTAATATTGTTGTTCGTATTATATAGTATGAATGCGATTGACTTATTTGTATTTATGATTGAGAAAATTGTAAATTTAAATAATATTAATACAAGAATACATTTTTTAATGAAAATCGGCCTTCAAATTACATAGTAAAGTAGTCAAAGAACTAGAACCTTTTTACTGAATTAAAATTGGACCATCCCATGTAGTCGAAATTTTGTCTGGCTTTTTGATCTAAAATACTACAATCACTTTTACTCATAGTAAAACGTATTTTAATTAAAAACAATACCTTGTAGCTTATACAAATTAATTGACATGGTCGAAATTTTTTAAAACCTCTTTTTTCTTAAATATTGCCTATACAAAACTCCTTAATAACAGACTGCACGCAATCTCCTTAAATAAACTGTTTACAAATAGCAAAAATAGTTATTTTCTCCGCTCCACGGAAACAGATTTAATAATGGATATGTTATCTCTTATCTCTAACTGAAAATGAAAGTATAACGCGAAAATGGAGACATTGTATTTCTTGTATATAGCCTAATAACATAATATTATCCATGTTAAAAGGAGTACCTATAACTATTGCGTCTTGGAGACCACCAACTTCTTCGCGTTGACTATCAGCGACAATCCGTTGATCGCGTTTACTTTGTGCTCTTTTTATTGTATAACCTATTGCTGTCATGCTTCCTCCTATTTAACGTTTAAACCTATTTAAATACAAAATGACGTCAGACGTTTGTCTAGTTATAAATTTGTACTGTTGCTAGGTTCGGCTGTGACAAATAAACCGTTTTGTTATTTCTATAAACATAATATATTATAATTTAATTTTCTGCAACAGTTTAATAGTTTCAACGTTTTTTTTTTGTCATTGCTATAACCAATTTTTTACATTATCTGAAGAACACATTTTGTAAGTATTTTGTCAAGTTTGTAACGTTATACTTCTATTCTTATTTTTATCATACCACATGACACGTTACGGTTTTACTTTTCAGTTATTCATTTTGTATAGCCCGAATATAGTAGTGATAAGAAGGGGGGTAAAACTGAATTTTTTTGTTTATGGGTGCATATCGTTACGGGGTAGATCGGCTGTATTTCCTAATAATTCGTTCAATTGACAAATTAATTAAATAATATTTTGGTTAGTAGTTGATTGTTGATTCACACACACACACACACAGTAACGTAGAAATTTACTACGGTCTAAGTGTGATTGTTGCTCTTTTTGGTTTTTCCTTAATGAAAAAAAAGTTTGAATAGATTTTTATGAGAAAACCCAATTTGGTATTAGCTTTACTAGAAGTGTGTACCAAATCAACAGTTCTTACATACAAAGACATAATTTATGAACAAACTGATAACCAAAAATGTGGCTACGATATGTGGATGACACATTTGTATAATGGCAACATGGAGAAGAAGCTAACTTCGGAAAAAGAATGTATAAAGAGGCAATAGAAATTAAAAAGTGGCCCACAAAATTTTAATAACCCATTATCCATCTAGAAAAAAAGAAAAGAACAGTTCAAACAAATAGATGCAGCAAACTATATTGTAGAAAACGAAAATTTGAAACTTTAATAACTTTGAAACTAATTATCCAAAACTTGTTATCGACCAGTCAAAATATTCAACAAATCATACTTAATTCAAAAAGTTAATCCAATATATACGTTACTATTTATAAGATATGTTATTTATAACATATAAGGGACAGAGTGATAATTTTTAAAATTATGTAAATTTGTCCAAAACTATAAAATTAAAAAAAAAATAGTTAACCTATCACAGTATATATATATTTTTTGAAAATATTCCACCAACTTACGGAATTAAAATGTCCCCACATTTTAAATATTTTGAAAATTGAGTTTAATACAAAGTAAAGGGTTTTTAATTTTTTTTTTTTTATAGAATTATTGGTCTCTCAAACCAGATAGGACTTTTTGTAAAAATTTTAAATTAAAAAAAGAAAATCTCTATGTAATTAATAATTTAAATGGCTACATGCACTAAAATGAGAAAGAGAAATCCAAAATTTGTCATGGTGTAACTTGATTTAGGAGCAAAAGGATAAAAACAATTCCCGATTCAAAGCAATGAGCTGTTTTTTTAAATATGTAAAAAAAACTTTTGAAAAAATACTTGTACTCATTTTATCGTCGAACTATAATGAAAATATATTTTGTTTTAATTGTTCAATTTTATAAAAAAAAAAACGTTTCACCAAATTTATAAATAAATGTACAGAGGCGCTTAATTTTCTTTAGATAATCGTAATTTTGTATTTTTTTCTTTTTACAATTTTAAGTATTTTCAATTATAAAATCTACAAAAATGCGATTACATTAAAAGGAAATGAGTGTCTCATCCTTATTAAATCGATCAATTTGTTTAATGTATTTTGATTTATCGAAAATATTAGAATACCAGATTTAAGTAAGAAATTTGACCGTACTCATATATTGATGTAAGGTGCTTGTTTTACAAAGGTTGTGTTGCTTTCATCGAAGCCCAAAAAAATAGGTTGTTTTTTCAGGAAAATATCATCATATACGAAACATGTGAACAAATAAGAACACTAACAATGACAACAACAGCAGAAAATACAAAAACAATTTCGTTTTAACAGCAAACGAGTACATTTTCAACTGAATCTTATGTGTCGATAAAATATCTGTTCATACTTTATTCTACAAAAAGTCTTTGTGAATAGCAGTTAGAAAATTTTCCTAGCAAATCTCATACACGCTACGTACATATTTTGAATTACAATGTTTTTAAAAAATATTATACTTCTTTTGTGTGTCTTGGGTCTTATAGAGAAAAGTATTACCGCAGGTGATGGAAAGATATCCGATACAACGGATGGAGATTCTACGAGTGGTACTTTAACTGTGGTAAGTATCCAGAATTTAGAAATATTTTAACGCTTATACTGACATAAGTAACATAAAAACCGATTGAGATAAAATGTAGACGGTAACATTTTTCCATAGAGATAATTATGACAATGATAAAAATATGGTAAGCAGAGTGGTGCCAATTCTTATTCGATTAACTGAACTTGAAATTATTAGAATAATTATATTTGTAATTATTTGAAAAAAATTATTTCTAAAATAATTTGAATATTCAAATAATTATTTTTGAAATTATTCGAATAACTTTTATATGAATAATTTATTATTTAGATAACATTTTATTTGAATAATGCAATTCTGACTGTGATTTGGGTATATCAAATTTCGGTGTTTCTAATGTTATTTCATGTTTCATCGTTATAGAAATGAGTGTCTAACAAAAGCACA